GGAGAAGCGCGTCACCGCTCCTCGGGCACAGCAGGCCGAGACCGCGGATTTTCGTTCTTCGGCTATTTCAGGCGTTCTGCTGAGCGTTTAGGAATGGCGACGCAACTCCCGAACCGCAGAACGGAGATTCGCTCCAAGCGCCAGCTGAAATCTTCCCCTGCCCGGCGGGCGCACACGCCATCGCATCGCCCCGAGGCAGCAGAGCATCGCCCGCCGGGCTCGGGACGCACGCCGGCATTTCTAACCACGCGCCGGCCAAACACCGTGCTTCCCGAGGCCGAGAAAGCCCGGCTCAGCGCCGCAGAAATCATCCAAAAAATGACGGTATTTATAAAGTTTTCCCCCCATCTCTGCCCTTCGGCTATAGGCTTCGTGTGACGGAGCCTCGGGAGCATTTATGAATTAAGAGATGCTTTGCCGCTGCCTGGATTTCCGCCTCGTCACTTGGCGATGCCAACGACCGACGGCTCACCGGGGCGGGAGGAGGAAATTAAAACCGCTTTTTAAAGCCACGATGTACGCGCACCTGCGCGATCCTGACCCCGAACGCGCTCGACGGACGCGCAGGAACTGCGCTGAGGCCGAGCGAGGGCACGACGCGATTGAATTAAGACCAGGAATATTCCACCTTATTTTTCACAGCTGCGAAGCAGCGCGGTGCTGAGGTGGGTCAGGTCCGTTATCGCTAATTGACGGACGGGAGGGCGAGCCGGGGCCTGCATCTTAAATAATTAAAAAAGCTGCAGTCGAAAGGAGATGAAAACCCCAGCGGGCTGAAGCCTCACCGCAAATATGTGAGAGTCCTTAAATATATGCAATAAAACCGCTTACTTTTATCCGTACACGTCGGGCAACGGGCGCTGCAGGGGAGCCCCGGCCGTGTTGGAGGGCGACGCTCTGTTGCTATAGGAAAGGAACAAGCGTGACGTCACGACCCGGGAGCGGCATCATCGCCACGGCGCGGGGCGCTGCAGGAAAGCGATCGCGTCAGCTGACGAAATGCCTTCGAAGCACACGAAAAAGAAAGAAAGAGCCGATTTGCCAAAGGATTTGTTCCGCTGCTGGATTTGACGCATCTTCCCTGTTGTTGGGGTAAACCAAAACACGCCAGGAACGCCAAGCGGGTCGTTAACCCGTGACCCGGGATGGCCCGTTTTTACCCCTTTTTAAACCGCAAAATAACATCCCTGGGTTGGCTTCACTCGAAATACCAACTCCCTCAGCCTCCAGCAGCTTCGCTGCTCCCCACCCGGGCGAGAGCAGGGAGGCCGTCGTCCTCCGCCAGCCAGGGCTCGGTATGTGTTATTTTTCATTTATTTCTGCCCCAAAATACACCTACCTAGATCACCAGAGTTTTAGGACTACGCATTTGAGATGAGAAGCAAAGCGTTCTTAATGTTGCTACGCGTGCATAGCAAGCTTTGCCTAATTTTACTCCTAAAGAGCCAGGTTGTACGCCTCTAAAACAAAAAAACCCCTCCTATCGTTACTTCGCTTCAGAAGAGCTGGATGAAATTGCTTTTATTATAAAAATGCACGTTTCCTTGGTGCGTCCCCCCCCCAAACTTCTAGAATTTGTTTTTCTCCCCATCGTTTTTGCCACATTCCACGTAAGAAACGCCGGATTTCGCCAGCACGCGCGGGCAGTGCCCAGCGCACCCGGCTGCGGAGGACTTTAAGCCTTCGAAACACTCTCAAACTTTAATCCTTGCATCGTCCTGCGAGGAAGCGCTGCACGGCTGAAAACCCGCAAGCCGAGAGAAGTTCGGGAGCCTAAAAGACACTTAAAAAAGAAAAAAAGGCAACGCGAGCACTTCCTAACGTTATTTCGCGTCCCGGTCAGCACTGTCAAGGCAGACAGGCGATTTCTCCAACAGCGCTGCCCACCAGGGATATATTTAGAGTGTTTGGTAGCAGGACGACGAGAGAAAGCGATTCAGCAAGCGGGTCGTGAGGCAAGGACTCCGAAGCGCTGGATCTCTTCCCGCTACTGACCTTGCCCCGCGCTTCGCCTGCTTTCGGCCCTTTCCTCCTCTGTAAGACCAAAATCACGACCGGGGAAGGCGCCGGGACCCGCGGGCGAACGTCCTTACCTATCTAAAATAAGCTCGTTTCTCTGAGGCCGCTAAATGCCTACGCGTACCTATAAGCCACCGGGGCGCCGGTTAATTCATCTGAAAATTGCGAGGGATGTCCAGAGCCTTTTCCCAGGCGCGCTCCTCTCTCCAGCGCAGGGAGCCGCCAACCTGGGAGGGTGCCGCGGGCAAACCCTGCTGCGATTCTCTTCCCCCGACGTTATTTTAAGCGTTTGATCCCATCTCGACGCCACAACCAAACGTTTCTGGTGTCAACCCTGGAAGATTCAGGGTATTAGGTGGCTACGACCGTGCTTACTCACGCTTTGTAGGCGCTTTAAAAAAAAGGGAGCTGGTAAAACACGTGGCACTTTCACTGAAGCCGACAAGTCACCGTCGGTGAAGCGTTTTTCTTTCCATTTACGAGAGCCTAGTAACGTACGGCAAAACGGCTGGGGGGAAAAAACCGCCTTCAGCGCTACCGTCCCACCTTCATCTTACTCCCCGACGTTACGAATTGCGGCGTCCCAGAAGTTCACCAAGCACACGGGGGGAAAAGGCGGCCAGGAATCGCTGCTCTTCGCAGCACGATGCCCGCCAAAAAGCGAGACGACCCTGCGAGGAACACAGCAGAAGGCAGCGCGGACACCTCCGAGCGCAGGGAGATGCTGTACGGCCCCATTTTGCTTTCACGCTGGATGGCGTTTTTCCCCATTTTGTTTATGAGAACACAGGGGAACATATTTTTGGCAAAAGCTGTGTTTAAGTGTTTCGGTAACAGCTGTGCTCTGCGTGCCGAACCGACGGCGACAACATCAGACGCCGCAGCGCCTTCTGCGGGTCCTCGCTCCGCTCCGCGCAGGGGATGCTTCGTGCCAACAGTAGCTCCGACTTGATTTTATTATACGGTAACACTCGACGTCAGCCTATTTTTAGACCTCGCATGCACGCCACACGCTCGCGAACGCCGGGAATGGTAGCGCGATGTAAGGAAAAGCCTTTCGCCGGCGTAAACGTAACGGGAAGGAAACCACCGCACTTTACATCCTGGTAAGCTCTCGAAAAGGAGACAGAAAAACCACTTGGAAGAGATTACAAGCAGTTTTCCTTCTTCCCGCAGCAGGGGCAAGCCGCATCCCTAATTCCCAGATGATCCCGGCGAGGGCTCGTCGGGAACAGGGACCTCCGCTGCCAAACCCCGGAGAGGTGACGGCACGGACCGAGCAGGACCCGCGGAGCAAGGTCGCCAGAAAAGGGCGCAGGGCTTCGTGCTTCCAGCCCACTCCGAAACAGGGAAGAAGGGGACCTTTGCCGTCTCGAAAGCGCAATTTCCTCCTCCTCCGTGCCCAAACTTTTGGCGTTCGGTGACAAA